GCCTCTCAACTACCACCCCCTTGCCTAACCTCACTCCCCCTTCCCCGCCCTCCTTTCCACGTTCTCGCCGTCGCCCACCCCCATCATGCCTCCGCTATTCCCCTCCCCGCTCCCCTTTCACCCCTCGGCCCCCCTCTCCACTCCGCATCGATTGCACCATTCATTCCTCCCCCGCTTCTCCTGTCCCTAGGAAGATGGGGCAGGTGCCGTCAGTCTTGCTGACTACCCGAACCGCAGACCAACGTTAGCGACCGAGAGTAGAATGATGAGGAAGAGGAAGAAAGGAGGAGACCCAACACGGCCTACCGCAGCAGTCCCTCGAGATTAAGGGGGCGTACGAACTTCAGTGCGAATGCGACCTGCGAGGGGTTGGACTGACAGGAGCGGGAAGGGGGTTACCAGAGAGAAAAGCCCGAAGAGAAGAGCGCAGAGAATCGATGGCTATGGAAATAGTGGCCAGGGCCTCGGTGAATGGGGAGGAGCAAGAGGAGCAAGAGGACGGTAAGGAAGGAGTCAGTAAGACCAGGAGGGAGACGGGAGGACTAGGAAGGGGCAGGAGAGGGCCGGTCCTTCAATCTGAGATTCACCAGCGTCTCTGCAGCGGAGATTTCGGCGAGGTCGCTCGCAAGCTCTGAGGGCTTCAAGTTCAAGCGGTTCCCCTCCCCTATGCATGCTCCTCCTCGTTCCACTGCCAAGGGACAGCGGAAGCTACACCAGCATTGCCAACGCAACTCTTGCGGCACATGCACCCCTCTTCTGGTGCTACTTTGGAGCTTGTCATTACCGTATGTCCTGTTTTGCCCGCCTCCTGCTCCTCCCTCACTTCCTACCCGCACCACCCTTCCTTCATCTTCTTTATCCTCCTCCTCCCCATCGGCCCCCAGACCTTTCTGGAGCGCGTTCTGACGTAGATCTCGAGGCGGATCCAGCCGTGGAGGGGGGGGAGAATGGGGAGAGGAGGGATAGGGGGTATGGGGTGTACCCTGAACGTGCCAGGAGGAAGGCGTGAGGAAGTCTCCCCATCGGATCAACGACCCAAAATCATAATGTAAGCAGCCGTGTCCCCTGGCACTTTGAGGCGGTAGAATGCCACGTGCTAATAGGTAGACCCCTCCCTACTCGCGTCCAGGGGCATGCACCGCCCCGCCTCACGAGGCCACTACCCCTTGTAAAAAACAAACGGTCCGCGCTCCCTGGGCCACAATCCCCAATACAAGAAAGATGTAGATCCGTGCTTCCGAGCTTCCAAAACGGACGAAGCAGGCAACTAAGCACGCCAAAATGGCCCAACGGCCCAGGATGGCCTGCACACAGCCCAAGATGCCTCCAATGGAACAAGGGGAGAATCCCCAGCAAGGGCCGACGAGGCACACATCACTGATTCCCGAGACACATTTTACTTCTGGAATAAGCAGCTGGGCGTGGGGGTCGGTCTGGCGGCTATGTCGTTCGGCCGCCAACCGTCGCCGCCGGTCGTCCAGGTTCGCATTGTTTCGCATTGCTTTGACATTCCAACTGGATTGCACAACGTACATTCTTCGTTTAAAAACAAAGTCGAATCTCCCTCCTCCCCCTCGGATTTATCGCTCCCCTGGGATATTATAATAAACGCACGGTTCGGTCCCATTGTTCATTTTAAATCATAATATCGCACCGTCCCCAGCGATCATTTTTTCGCCCCCTCATTAATGTCAAATGACACGGTGCGTCGGCCGCGCGCGCAGGCCGAAACCCTTTTCAACATTTGCACGAACGACACATGGGCGTCATCATCACCGTCGCGACCCGCATCGGCGCCGTCAGTGGCCTGCCGTCGTCATCGTCACCATCGTCATCATCGTCGCCATTACCGCTACTGTAATCATCGTTTCCGCCGTGGTCGACGTCACCCTGATACCGCACCCGCCTGAATCACCGAACCTAACTGAAACGCCCGCGCACCAGTGCGGCCCGTGAGACGCGATGGGACGCGTCAGTCGGTCAGCGCCACCGCGGCCGCGTCAGCTACGCCTAACAAAGTGGGCGGTCTGCGTGCGAACTTGCGCGCGCCAGCGCGCACGCAGAGATGCGCCAGCCAGTGCCAAGCAGCCGTCGCAATCGCCAAGTTGTGGGCGGGAGGGTGGGATGTTTGCGCGAACATTGGAACTAACGACTTCAAATTCTGCGGCGTGGGCTCTCCTTTCCTACAAGAAGATTCGGGTATATCCCCCAAGATTTCAACGCGGCCTTTCTCGTGCATGCGATTCTGCCTCATCAACCATCTTATATATATATATATATGAACACCATGCAATCCCAACCAAACTGGTAACGCCCCCCCCCCCCCCCACACACACCCTGTGTCAAACAACTACGCGCGCACACTCTTTAACCACGAACCATTAGCTTGTAAGAACCCTTGCAGGGACGAAGTGCACGCACGCGTGTCGTCGCGCGCGCATGCCTCAATCGCTCCAAAAAATCCGTGGGTTCCGTGCGGGTTTCAAAAAGTCCAAAGAACAGATAACCACACGATGCAGCAATAAAGACGGTCTACAACAAACTGGCGATCGCGCTCTTGCAAGCTTTCACGAACACCACAAGTGTGTGCAACATGTTGGTTACATGCTACCAAACGGGCAGTTCGCGCTCATATGCCAAATCGTTCGAACAAGTTTGCGCGCGCCTTGTCGCAACAACGCCTTGCATGCAAACGCGACATGTACGCGCGCGCCGTCGCGCGCGCGTGCTGGCGTCCAATAAGCGCCTTGGGTGTCGCATGGATGTCAAACCGAATGTCCCGAACGCACATGGAAAACAAGGTTTTGCAACGCCCGCCTCCAACAAACCGACGCGCGCGCCCTCGCGAACTCCCATGGACATCATCAATTATTTTATTGTTCGCCAGCGGTGCCACCAAAGTCCACCGCGCGGGCTTCTTGCGCCGCGTGTCGAACTCATCCAGACGCCATCGCGCGCGTGCGGGGGAAAGGGGCACGATCCGTGTCAAAGATTGCCACGCGGGCCACTCGCGCGCGTCGGCCACGCGCGCATGCCGAATTCCTCCCAAAACCACCATCGCCGACGCGAAGACATCGCCATTGCTATCCGCTGGCGCGGCCCACATCGGCGCCGCCATTGACCGCGCCGTCGTCATCGCCAGCATCGTCACCAGCATCGCTACTCTCATCGTCGTGTCTTCTTTTGTCAGCGCCACCGCGGCCGCGTTGGTCGCGCCAGACAAGGCGGCCGCTGCGCGCGCGAGCACTCGCGGGCCAGCGCGGTCGCATGTGCACCAGCCAACGCTACGCACTCATCGCAAGCGCCACCGCATGGGTTTTTGCAAACCAAGTTGCGGGTGGGCGGGCGGGGCGTCTGCGCGAGCAGTGGAGTTGACAACTCCAAGGTCGGCAGGGCGAATCACGCCACAAAAAATTAACCGCATCAGTTGTCAGTAGCGCACTGTTAGGTGCCGACGCTGGCTAACATGCCCCAATGATTGTCGCATTTCGAATTTCCGCTGGCTCACGGCGCCCGAGCAAATCTCGAAGATGGCCCCAGCGCGGCCCGCGCGGCGCCCAAGAGGGCCCCAAGTCTGGGAACCCCCAAACAGACTCCATGGTGGCCCATTTGCTAGAGAGACCCAACGCGGCCATGGAGCGCCAATCGACGGCCCAAGACGTCGCCAACACGGCCCCTCGACTTCCGACTGCCCCACGACACCTGGCACACGGCCAGGAAAGAACGCCCCATGAAGGCCCAGCAACGCCCCGAGATGGCACAAGACGGCCCAAGACGGCCCAAGAGGTGTCCAAGATGCCCCGGAATCTCGAAATCTGGCCCACAAGAGCCCAACGAAGAGCTCCTCAAACGAAGACGGAAGATGCACGCATGTGACGGGCTTCCTCTCTCTTCCTCTGTCTTGAACTGCGCGTGTCTGAATCCGCGACTGCGGCGTTCTTTTCAAAAATGCACACGACCCGGCGCAAAAAGGTAACTGGCGGGCGCCGCGAAAAAAGGTGGGAGAGAGAGTCCGCGGCAAGAATCGCAAAAATAACGAGCGCCCGCCAGGCACTGCAGCATGTACCTCAGCATGGTAAACCTCATAGCAACAAGGACAAGGTGCACTGAGACCCCCCCTTCGATTTGTCGGTACTTACTGCAAAAGGAGCGTGGGAGGCGGCTGCAGGACGTAGCGTCGCCTCGACAGGACAGGGTGCAAGCTGGTAAGAAATGTGGGCAGATGGCTCCCGTGGGCAGAGCACAAAACGCAAGGCAGACGGTGTGCAATTTTTGGGCTGCTACACTTGGACCGTTTGTCCCTTCCCGAAATGCACCCATCCTCCACAAGTCAATCATTTTGCGTAGGCTGCATAGCCAAGTGAGAACACAACAAGGCGCATGCAGTGCCTGAGCATTATATGTCAAAGAAATGACCCAAGAGCCCCCCTGGGAAAACAACTGCTGTAACAGCGTTGCTGATGAGCAGGCAGAGCTAGTGCGCAACGTTTGCGCTGCTGCCCTCGGCGAGGGGAGGGTGGGCCTCGCATCAAAAAGGATATATGAGGATGAGCGTTGCAATGCAATAAGCACCTGTGCCAAGCGCGGCGGCCCAGAGGTCGTCGCCCAGGGTTTTTGGCCCAAGACCCTTGCGTTATGTTAGCCAATTTGTTGTTCGGATTGAGCGCGGTTCCGCAGTGCGCGAAACGGGCAGTTTTTGTAGGCTGGCCAGGTTGGCTGGCCTGTCTGGTGGCCTAAGCTGCCGAGCGCGCGTTTACGACTGGCCTGTAGAGCTGGTCTGTCTGGAAACTGGGGTTCGCCCTGCCCCGTGGGCTAGGGGCCCCGAAATGAAGCCCTGGAGCAGCAGGGCGGGATGTCAGAGTGGAGCGGGGTGGATCGCGAAGAGGGGGCGGGAGGGGGGCACAAGGCAAGCGTCATTAGCACGTCGGTTCGCAAAGTGAGCTGCGACGTTCAGAAGGAAGCGGTACTTGTGCTGTCCTCACCCCCCTCCTCCATGTAACCCATCCATCATCCTTGTATCCATACTTAGCATCGGCAATATGACCTGGCGAAAAGCGAAACGAGGTGCAAGCGGCGCAACTCTTGGGCGGCCACCCCGAGCATGAGTGCAAGAGACATGGTGTCTGAGACTCTTGGAAAACAGCTGCTTTAAAGGTGCTGCTGAGGAGCAGGCGATCGCGTGCAATTCCCACGACCAAGAAAGTGGCTAGACATTTGCATAATTGGGTTGCACTCGGTACGAATGGCCGTCAAAGAACAAGGCCGGGTACGCAAATAGCAGCAGTAGGTAATAATTGAGAGAGTAGGGCCGTGGGCAACCGAACGCGAAGAGTTCAGAAACGCTGTGCGCCCGAGGTATGTGCGGGATGTCGGAAGTCCGCATCAGTTGGCACGGCGCGGTCCCTAGGGACGGATAGGGTCCAACCTAAGTAGCTTGGTCGGTCAAGATAAAGTCGGAGAAGAGAGAGGAAGACGAGACGAAAACGGAATGGAGCTAGCCTGTCGGCTGCCTGTTCAACATGTACGGCGTGCTGCGTAGGCTCGGCTTGCTGTCCTTAAAGTGAAGTGGCTGCTTCGTATGAAAGGAAGCCGCGTCCTGGATTGGGGGCCCCACCGGTCAACTGGACAAGGTGAATCTGCCGTGCAGGCAATCCGAAAGAAGCGGGGTCACGCACTAGTCGTGAACCCCAAATGCAAGCTAGGCAAGGTTGGCCAGCCGAGCTGGTAGATCAGTGTTCGCTGCGTTGCTGGGCTGGGCTTGCGAATCAGATGGGCGACATCTTGTGTGACAGGGGCCTCCAACTCTGGACTAACAATGCTTGGGCTGATGCCCGAGGCTTTTGCGGTCAGCCCCAAACCGACGGGACTGCTGAGGGATCTCAAACGGCCACCAAGCGCGTCAGAAGGGCGGGAAAAGGGATGCCAACATCAGCGAAATCATCGTCTGAAAAACAGAGCGGGAGCGTCGACCACGAGGCGCGGGTAGAACTGCCTGGTCAGGGATACATGCCAAAACAAATTTTGACCTCAACGCCTTCGCTGCCTGAAATGCACGAGCTGTGTGGCAGGCGGCGCAGCGCGCTCCAGCAGGGCGACCTGCTGGACCTCTCTCAGCCCATATTAGGCAGAGAATGAGAGGGAACAAGCACGAGGCTCGCGCGCGGCAGACACCGGGGCCATCCAGAAGAAGGAAGAGGCGGCCTGGAGAGCCGACTGGCCTTACTAGCACGCACCAGGGCCAAAGGAAGCGACCTGGTGAGCCGAAGGGCCGCGAAGGCGGCCGCCGCCTGTCGGGGCCGATGATGGCCGGCGCCGGCGCCAAGAGGACCCGCCTCCGCCCGACGCCCCCCGCGTCGGCCCCGGGGCCGGCGAGGGCAGCAGCGGCGCCGGCGGCAGCAAAGGCAGCAGCAGCGCCGCCCAGCGCCGTCGCCATCTCGTCGCGGTTCGCGGTCGCCGCCCCGCCAGACGCCGCTGCCACCGCGGCAGCGACGCGAGCGGCGACGCGCCGCCCTGCAACAGCACCAAGAACGAGGCCATCGGCCCGTTCGTCATCGAAGACTCCGCCCCCGCCAACGGCAGCCGCCCCCGCGGCGCCGCCAGCCCCCGCAGCGGCTGCGGGCCCCACAGGGGCCACGCCAGCAAAGACCTCGTCATCCTGCCCCGCCTCCATGTCGGCAACAGACGGACCGCCCGCCGCCTCCCTCGCCGCGCGGCGCTGGCGGCGCCGCCGACGCTTCGCGGCGCGCGCCGCGGGGTCGGCGGCCGCGGCGCCAGCGCGACCAGCGGGGCGAGGGTCGGGAGGGGCAACGTCGGGAGCTGCGCGAACGCCACCGTCCGCACGTGGCGCGGGAGCCCCGGCCGTCCTGAACAAGACAGCCGAGACTGCGGACCGCGCGACGGGCGCGACAGCGCGGCTCGGCGCTCCGCCCAGCATGGCGCCGCGCACGGCCGCCTCCACCAGGCTGGCGGCGGCGGGCTGCGGCGCGAAAGCCCCACTAGGCTGCGTCATCCCTCGGGCCCGCGAGGAGGAAGGAGGCGCGGCCGCGCGAACGCTTGAGCCAAAATGATACATGCCAAAATTTGAAAGGAAACGGGGGAAGTCACCAGACGATTTTCTGCGGTAGTTGGCGCAGCGCATGTGCTGCGTGTATTCCGTCTGATCCGCGGCCACTGTCTTCGTAACCCATCGGCTTGGGTCCCGGTTCTCCAGGTCCTTCTCCTCCCCCTTATCCTGCTCCTTGTGGTCATCATCATCCTCCTCCTTGTCATCGCCGTCATCGCCACCGCCGTCATCGTCGCCACCAACAGCATCAGCACCACCATCATCGTCATCATCGATCAAGATCGCGAACATGATCGGCACCGCAATCGTCGTCATTATACTTGTCATCGTCGTTGTCGTCATCATCATCAGCACCGTCCATATCATAATCATCATCGCCATCGCCACCACCACCCTCATCAACATCCTCCTCAACATCGTCGTCATCATCGTAGACGCGGCCCCGGAAACTTGGCCCCCCATGCCTCCCTGTACCGTCGCCCTGCAGAGCGCTCGTCTGGCGCGCCGACGGGGCTCCCCGCAGGCAAGTGGGCAATCCGCAACAACAACGCAATCCAATCGCGCCCTCCCGCCCCCCCCCCGACACTCTGGAATGGCCGCGCAAACGAACGCAAACACAAACGCCCCCATCCACCCGCGCACGCGCACAAGCACACGCGCACACGCACGCGCGCACGCACGCGCGCGCGCACGCACTCACGCACGCACGCACGCACGCACGCACGCACGCACGCACGCACGCACGCACGCACGCACGCACGCACGCACGCACGCACGCACGCACGCACGCACGCACGCACGCACGCACGCACGCACGCACGCACGCACGCACGCACGCACGCACGCACGCACGCACGCACGCACGCACGCACACACACACACACACACACACGCACACACACACACATACACACACACACACACACACGCACGAGCACGAGCACGGGCACGCGCGCACGCGCACGCGCACGCGCACGCGCACGCACACACACACGCACACGCACACGCACACGCACATACACGCAAACATACGCACACGCAGCTCACGAATCGTTCCTAGAGCATCCGCAACTATCCGGCAACGACCGAAAACGCTTGAAAACATGATCCTCCTCCTCCCCCATCGCCCTCGCCCTCCTCATTTCTCATTTTCCCATGCCGAAGCGGGCCGGTGACCAACGCTCGGGCCCGAGAAAAAGAAATTCTAGACGCTTCGCGTATCCCCACCAGCCCGTCCAGAAATGAGTCCTAGGGGAGTGGAGGTTATGAGGGAAGCGGGGGAGCATGCAGAAGAACAAAGGGCGGGGTGAGCCGCCATATACCGCAAGAGGGGGAGGATGTAAAAGGAACCGTCGTCGTCGGAGTAGGAGGAGGAAGAGGAGGAGCAGGAGGAGGAGCAGGAGGAGGAGGAGGAGGAATAGAAGGAGGAGGAGATGGAGGACTGCGAGGACGAGGAGGACGAGGAGGAAAAGGAGAAGGAGGAGGAGGAGGAGGAGGAGGAGGAGGGGGAGGGGGAGGAGGGAGGAGGAAGAACAAGAGGAGGAGGAGGAGGAGGAGGACAATTGCGAGCTTGGGGGCCTCTTGGGCCGTCCTTGGGGCCTCTTGGCGGTCCCGGGGGCCTTCTTGCGTATCTCGGGGAGCCTCTTGTGGCCTCTTGGGGGTCTCTTGGGGGCCTCTTGGAGGCCTCTTGGGGGCCTCTTGGGGCCTCTTGGGGCCCTCTTGGGGCGCTCTTGGGGCGCTCTTGGGAGCCTTCGAGGCGCTCTTGGGGCCATCTTGGAGGAGATCTATCAAAGAAGGGGGGGTCCCCAATTAGCGCTGCCCCTCTAGAGTGCCTCGAGTCGCCTCTTGGGCCCCCCCAAGAGGCCAAAATCCTTTCAAAACCTATGTAAAAACAATGTTTGTTGTTTTCTCGCCTTTTCGCTCTTGGACCCGTCTTGGGAGCCTCTTGGGCCTTTTGGGGGTCTCTTGGGAGCCTTTTGGAGGCCTCTTGGGCGCCTCTTGGGGCGCTCTCGGGGCGCTCTTGGGGCGCTCTTGGGAGCCTTCGGGGCGCTCTTGGGGCCATCTTGCAGGAGATCGATCAGAGAAGAGGGGGTCCCCAATTAGCGCTGCCCCTCTAGAATGCCTCGAGTCGCCTCTTGGGCGGCCCAAGAGGCCAAAATCCTTCCAAAACCTGGGTAAAATCAATGTTTGTTGCTTTCTCGCCTTTTTCGCTCTTGGAGCCGTCTTGGGTCATCTTGGACTCTCTTGGGGCCTCTTGGGGGTCTCTTGGTAACGTCTTGGAGGCTTCTTGGGGGCCTCTTGGGGTCTCTTGGGGCCCTCTTGAGGCGCTCTTGGGGCGCTCTTGGGAGCCTTCGGGGCGCTCTTTGGGCCATCTTGGAGGAGATCTATCAAAGAAGGGGGGGGTGCTTATTAGCCCCGCCCCTCCAGAGTGCCTCGAGTCGCCTCTTGGGCCCCCCCAAGATGCCAAAATCCTTCCAAAACCTAGGTAAAATCAATGTTTTGTGTTTTCTCGCCTGTTCGCTCTTGGAGCTGTCTTGGGCCATCTTGGACGCTCTGACACCTCGCGACCGGCCCCGTCCAGGTCAGTGGGGAGGGGTAAGGGGAGGGGTAAACCCCTCCCCGAAGGGGAAGAAGGGGGTTGGCAGAGGAAACTCCCTAGACCACCTACGCCCTAAAGGGCTGGTGGGATTCACGGACTGCTGTATGTCGAACGCGAGTCAGAGGAAAAGCCAGGGCCACCGTGCGACTCACGGCCCGCCGCGACGTGCTCGGGCAGCAGGGCCAACAAGAGAAAAAGTCACCTCCGCGTCCTGCGGCAGCTGCCCCGCCGAGGGAAACCTGTCCAGCGAGCAGCGGACCCGCGCGAACAGGCCCGTCTTGAAAGCGCTGCAGCGCGCCCCCCAGCTGCGCAGCTGCGCCATCACCGCCATGATGCGGGTCACGATGCGGACGGCTTCTGCTTCGTCACCGGACTGGGCGGCCCGCGCTTGCCGAAGGGCTGGGCGCGCGCGATCCTCGCAGAAGCAGTCCGCGCAATCCTCGGGCCCGCGCAGGAACAGGTTGCAGCCGTCGGGGATGTCGCGGCCGCGCTCAAGGCAGGGCATCGGCCGCCCGCGCTCGCGGGCCTCCCTGCGCTGCAACGCGCGCCCCTCGGAGCAATGCGATCGCTCGCCGCCGCAGGCAAGGTCGGGCGCCGCCGTGGCTGTGTCCAAATCTTCCACGTCAGATCGCTCCGCCTCTGACTGCGCCTCCACCAGCGGCCGCAGCCGCCGGGCAGTCACCCCCCGCGCGGGCCCGTCGTCGGGCGGCGGCCTCGGGCCCCCCGAGCCCTCCGAGGCGCCGTCGAGGACGAAGCCGAGCGCGCCCACCAGGAGCCGCGCGGTCGGCGGGCCCCAAACTCCCCGCGGCCCCCGCGGCCAGAAGGAGGCTGCATCGCGCCGGGGCCTCGCGCAAATGGAGCCAACGGCTGGCGCGAAGAGCGGCGCGTCGACGTTATCGGGCAACTCGGGCGGCCCACGAGGCGGGGGGCGCACCCTCGCCTCCAGCCGAATTCCGCGCTGCGCGCGACGACGAAGCTGGGCAACCGATGCATGCGCCACGTCGACGCCCCTAGCGCCAGCGTGCAGCGCGGCGCTCCTGCGCAACGCGTCGAGCCACTTCGGCCCCTCCACTGGCGAGGGCCAGGACCGCGGGCACCGCCGCCCGAAGCCGCGACCCTACCTCAGAGTTCCTCACGATGAGCCAGAGCGCTGACTCTGCCAGCTTCAACTGACCTGCGATCTGGCGCACATCACGCGATAGGCAATGCACGAGACGATCCGCTGAAACACGCGCTCGCGACCTCCGCGCAGCACGGGTCAGACAAATGGCGCCGCCTGGCGGGGCGCCCCCCGCAGCCGCCGCGCCAGCGCCACCCGCCGCCGTCGAACCAAACCGCGATTGCGCCAGGCACCTGGCGCGAGCCAGCGCGGCAACGGACTGCCACCTCCCCCTCCTGACAGACTGACCCACGGCATCGAAATGCGAAGTCGGCAGCCACCAATCCGGCCCCTCCCCGCGGCCAGCGCCGCGGAGAGGGGGGGGTGAACGAGAAAGAAACAGGTCATCCTTCCTCGCCGCCCTCCTCTGCCTCTTCCCTCCTGCTTCTACGCCGCCCCCCCGTTCCTGGCGGCGCGGGCGGCCTGCCGCCGCCCGGGCGCATCGGCGCCCCAGCGGTCGCCATCGCAGGCGGCGCCGGTCGGAAGGATGCGCCCGAGGAGGCGGCGGCAACGGATGGCGAGGAGAGGAGGGATGTGCAAGCACCGAGGAGGGGGGGGGCAAAAAGGGCGTTGCCCCATCGATCCACGGAACACCCCGAACGCCCCCCCCGAGTGGGGGCGGGCCGGCCCCGGCCCGAAAACGAAACAAGCCCTCTCTGGAGGCGGCGTCGAGGGGGGGGGGGCTCGGAGGGGGCCGTCGAAAGCGGGGTCTTAGGAGAAGGAGAACATAATGGATTGCGGCGTCCCGCGACGCGCATGCGTCGACCCGCCCGCTCCTTCCGCGCGCGCCCCCATAGAGCCCCCGCCCCCCCGGCGTAGGACTGGCCCAAGCGGCGGCCGGGAGATGGGGCGCCCAGAGCGCGCCTGCCCGGGGCGCCGGTGGAACGGCGAGAACCCCCCCCCCCCCTCCACCTCTCAATCTCCGCTACCTCCTCCCGCGCCACCGTTTCTTAGCTGGGCGTCGGGTTGGGCATGGCGGCGGTCGCGGCGCGGCAGCATCACCAAACATTCGACAACTGACCGTCGCGCGATCGCGTCGCCCACGGCCCAGGGCGGCGCGTCGTCACGATGCGAACGAAGAGAAGGGAGGACGGAGGAGGGAGGAGTTCTCTAAGGGATGAGGCGCCTGGCAGGGACAGCGCGCTGCGCGCTGCTACACGGGCATTCAGGTGGCCGCAGGGCTATTCCGCCCGGAGCATGACGAATTAATTATTTCCCGCCGCCCGCCCCCAAACCGTTGCCAAGTT